GCGCAATCACAGTCCACCAGTCGGCCATTCCTCACAAACTCCCACTGAGCTGACTGTGAGGCCTGGGTTTAATAGTCAGTTGGCGACTTTTCAAGACACGGTTTTTAGCACTACGTGGTGGTCTCAAGTGGGCCAGATTGTTTTTATTGAGGAATTAAGCGCTGAGAGTCGAACTCACTCGCTATACCCTATCACGTGCACCAGCCGACTGTCGCAGCCGGTCTACCAACCACTTCTGAGATTGGGAGATGTAGCTGACAGAGGAGAGAACGGCTTGTCTGCGCGTGCTACAAACGCGCAAAAACACAAAGCACCACGATTTCAAACAAAGGAGTTGGGCTGTTCGGATCTCATATGTGCTAGATTTGTATAGGGGGCGCATGGGTAAGAAGTCGGAGATCACGCATCTCCACTTAAATGGGAAGTGGTTGTTGCGTGTCCGTGATGGGGACGAGTTCGAGTGCGGTTTATATGGTATTGGGGGAATGTGTGGGGCTTGGTGTGCGATGATTGATCGCAGATGAGCATTGAGGTGCACGAGTGAATAACTTTTTTCAACAGGTGGGGCAATGCGCAATGTTTTGCATGCGCCAGGCAAACAACGCTGGCTTCATCACCCATCTGTTTTCTGTTTGCCAGCAGAAAAAAACGAGTGCATGCGCCTCTGTTTTGATGAAATCCGAATTTCCACTGCTATAAACTTTCAGGCGACGTGATCTCATTTGTGTAGACACCGAATAAGTTAGAACAGGAGATCGATAACTAGCAGCGTCGGTTAGGTCTCTCCGAGTTTTCTTGTCACGAGTTGGAAAAGGGGTGAGATGCATAAGTCCGGCATGGCTATACCACGAAATCGTACCGTTTCGCACGAAGAGACTGTGTTACCATTAGACTACAAAAAACTTTTTGATGCCATTGAGAATTCTGGATCGTCGGATGCACTTACTTTCAACTTTGTAGGTCGCTTTTACATAGTGAAATTAACTAAACGACAGCACGCCCATTCGATCCCTGGGGCCGAACTCCGCCTGCGGCGGTGGGCAGCTTGTGTGATTTTGCTTTTCGATGTACAAACATACGTTGCACCTACCTCGCTCTCTCTTCCATGTACATCGTGTTCAGGTGACGTTAGAGTATTTAGGCAACCGGCGGGTGGGTGAGAACTCATTATGTTACAAATTTATTGCTTTTCTACTGGGTATAATTAAGTAGTCTGTATTAATTGCGTTTTACATGGAATCCTGACCCTTAAAACTGCATTCCTGAGGTAACTTGAGAATGAACACTGCCAAACGCTTCCTTCCCCTTCTATATTACTGACTCCCTCACTCCACAACAGTTGAAGAAACTGTGCAACTGAAAGACGACAATTATTTGGCAACCTATGTTTGCCTCAGTCTGACTTTCAATATGGTGGTACTCGCTTACGATCTAGGACGATCCCATTTTTGCCTGTTAATGTTCGTCATTTTTGGAAAGGCTTGTAGGCCTGCTCACACCTTATCATCCAGAATGATGGTTGATGGTCGTCTTGCATCTCCGCGACGCCTTACACGTTTCAGAATATTAAAGAACTTTGAAATATATTCATGCTCAATCCCACACCGAGCCGAGCTCGTTTAGTAAGTAGCACATTCATAACTCAGCAAACAATGGTTGACCTTGTCGTTTACAGATGCAGAACCATCACGTCCTCCCGCCTTCTCTACGCAAAACTACCAAGGCCGCGCAACAACTCTCCAGCGGGAAAGCACCCGGAACGGACGCGAGGTTTGCTGAGATCCACAAGCACGGTGGCCCCCAATTCATGGATCATCTGATGGTGCACTTCCAGGTGTGGCGTCAGGGGCAAGTGCGGCAGAATTTATGGGGCGTCACAATCGTACATCTCTATAAACTGAAAGGAAACTACCAAATCTGCGGCAACTACATAGGTTTCTCCCTGCTGAACATCGCCGCGACGACCTTCGCCCGCATCCTTCTCAACCATCTGGAACAGAGTTGACGTAAATAATCCTGTTCTCACGGACTAAGGGACGATATCTCACGAGCCCCAAGTATTACGAACAGTAAGCGAAACCGGTTACCGGATACTACTGCTGTTCAGAACGTAAAATGACCCAACAGCAGAGCACGATAGAGGGACACATTAGCGAAGCGAGATTGTCCAGCCGAGTTGTTTCCGTCACGATAAAACAAGCAATTCGGTCAAAGAAAACGGGACTAGATTGTCAAAGGTGATGGCATGACGGTGCGTGTCACGGAGAGTGGAGCCATCTCAGAGGCATTCGCAGTGACCAACGGAGTGAAGCCGGGCTGCGTTCTTGCGCTTACCCTCTTCAGTCTCGTGTTCTCTGCTATGCTGATAGATGCCTAACTTGACGGACGTCTCCGGATCTGCGTCGCCTACAGGACGGGCGGCCAACTCCTCAATAAAGGCAGATGCATTTCCAGTCACGTATATCGCCAACCTCGTTCATGAACTTCTCTTCGCCGACGACTGTGCCCTCAACGCCACCTTGGAAGGGGACGTGAAAAGAAACATGGATCTTTTCACCGCCGCCTGCGACAACTTCGGTCTCGTCATCAACACGGAGAAGACGATGGTTATGCATCGATCGTCACTCGACGCTGCCTGCGTCGTACCCCAAATCAACGTGAACGGCACCCAGCTGCAAGTCGTGGACGGCTTCACCTATCTGGACAGCAAACCCTCTCGCAACATCAAAATCGACGATGAAATGGTCCGCCGGATTTCCAGCGAACATTCCGGATGTTCTTCTTCTTCTTCTTCTTCTTCCTCCTCCTCCTCCTCCTCCATCGTCTCATCATTTGCAGCGGCATCTCTTATACCCACCACCCGTGCACACAATCCTGACGCACCATCAAAAATCAACCTCCCTACCTTCAACACCAGCGATGTGGACTCGGTCCATACCTGCCCTCATTGCGACCGCACCTTCATCTCACACATCGGCCTGGTCGGTCACTTGTGGATCCATCGCACACAGAGACCGGCGAACCAGTGCCTGGGGCACCAACACACACTTGCCGCATCCACCTCAACTGCCCCCACTGCACCCGCACATGCACTCACCGCGCGGGCCTATTAGGCCACATGCGCATTAACGAGAACCTGAGGTAGACAACCACCGGCTACACCACACCACCACATCCCTCCTCACCTGCAACAAACAACATCATCTACCACGAGCATCCAATTGCCAACTCCCACGCAAGTGCCACTCCCAAATGTCACTTAGACATCCGCTCTCGCAGTGCTGGACGTGTGCCCTCACTCGGTTGCCAACTCATCTTAACATATTCTCAGACATCTCTGCATATAATACAGCATAATTTCTACTGGCGTCCAACGGTCTCTTGCTGTATCAGGGATAGGGCCTGTATGTTGTAGTAATTGGAGTCTGTCTGCGTTTTAAGACGCCGCGACAGATGCGCTACGGCTTGCGTCGGTAGAAACTATCAGGCGACGCCCTCATCGGTAGACGAGATCAGGGTGATTTATTCTTGGCAAAGGCACTGTGCGACGCCGAATGTCGTACATGCCACCGCCTTACCTTTACGAGTCTGTAAGTCTAATTCCACATGCGACCTCCAGGTGAGGAAGCGTGAAGTAGTTTACGGCTGATGGCGGGGTGGATCTCAACAGAAGACTGAATAATAATCTGGCACAAATACAAGTCCTGGGGGAGAAACGAGGCGTTGTTCAGACTAAACTGAGAAAAGTTGCAGGATGTCAGCCATGCCACCGATCTGTACGTCTTTGAATCCACACACCGGCAACAACCAGACCCTCTGATAAAACAAACTCCGACAAGAGGATTGATTGGAACAGGGTTGCATTAATCCGATATCGAAGCCACGTACGGCAGAAGCAGAGATAAACTCGAAATGACTACTTGTCCCTCAAGGCGGATGCACAAACACTTTCAAAGAAAAAATTTCGAGACAATCGAGGTAGTCGACGGCCATCAGCGCAACGGAATTGCGCTATTGCCCAGCTCAGATGACACAGATCTACCGTCGGTGCAGCTACGGACCCAGGAACGCTGGGTCCAGCACTCCAGGGGCGTCCTCAACTGCCCATCGTCAGTCAAGGCAATCATTAATACAATACCACAAAGTTCTGACTCCCATCCTCCGACATCTCTGCAACAGTTGGGATAGTGGTTGTCAACCGCTCTCACCTTCGCAGATGTGAAGAAAATAGCAATTACCGTGAGACTCAAGGAACGTCAACGTTCGAGGCTAAACCGTCGGGTCTGTGGCCGCAGATGCGAAATTTCTCTCATCAGTATTGCAAGAAGAATATTCACCAACGTGCTACTCAACTGATCGAATACACTTCTGGGACACAGACCTCTTTGAGAAATATGGGGTTCCGGAAAGACCGTGGGACAACAGACGTGACTTCTACAGCCCCGTAACCGCAATAAGTGTAGAGAAGTGTATTTTGAAATTCCGGCCAGCCGTCATACCTGATGTTTCGGTTTAGATGCAAGCTTTAGCGGGCATAATTTACGTCGGCCGAGCGTCTCTAAACTATTGCCATACCTAAAGTCGATGGATGTCAGCTGAGGACAAGCTTATCGTTGACGAATAATGTCCTCTGAACACTCCCCCAGCTATTCTTCCCGTTCAAGTGTATCAACGGCCTCTCTGCATCTGTCAAGAAACGCGAACGTTCAACGTTTTCCGAAGTCCCAGGCATGGATACTGACCCTTACCAATCTTTCAGTATTTTAGTGGCTCTCAAGTCGCATGTCTTCCTGATGACCGATGCATAGGCCCTGTAGTCGACCGATCGTTTTGTCAAAAATCGTTGGTTTGTAGACACGATTTATACATTCATCCTCGGAAAAATAAGAATTTCTACAAAAAGGGAAGTGAAAGTAGACTCAAAATACTGCACGGAGAGGCTCACACGGTTGTACAGGGAAGTCAGATAAACCTGACGGCAAAAAGGCCGGATGAGGCGGTTACACCTTCGGCACAGCACGCAGACAGTGCGAAAACCATAAAAGAGTAGAGAAGAGGATGAGACTGCCGCCCTGGTGCATCGCACCAAGCGACACAGGAACGTAGTTGAGGAGGGTGAGTACGCCAAGTGCTGACTGACCAAATACCGCAGCTAGCATGAGGTGAGCGGCGTTGCGAATGCGTGTACCCGTTCGGCCTCGACCGGCCATCATCGTAAGACCCCACAAAGTGCAAACGCAGCCTACCGACGTGTAGGCCAGCATGCGATGCATGAACTGGACTGCTGTCGGGTTGTCCACCAGGTTTCGTCCTGTAGAGCCGTAGCGTGGTACGATTAAGTCTTCCGGCACCCATCGGTCAGCCATCTTCGGCCATGAGTTGTAAACCAGTCCGGCGTCGAGACCAGCCACAAATGCACCTTAAAACGCAATGTTCACACAGAGCATATGACCAGTGCGGTTAATAAAATTGCCAGCCATATTCCTCCGGGAGAAAAAAGTCAGAAAAATGACGCGCACTTACCCCAGACGAGTGTTGTGAATACAAGTGCCTTGGAAGAGTGTGTCCAAATTTTGAGGCGTAATAGTCCGTCAAATTTGGGAATCTATAAAAGGATGGACGGCGATGAAGGGCCTATATTATGAGGTCTTTTTCAGACAGATAATAATAAACAATATCACGAAATTAAAGAGAAAGACTGGTCTAGTCCAGGATCGTTGCCAGGACGGTCCTTGCCTTCCTCCTTCGTACTGTAGTGTAGAATACGGATCGTAAAGAGGCAGCGCAACTTGTATTTTAGAGCTAGAGGAATACCACAGTATTACAGAGATATTCCACCTAACAGACAAAACTTATCAACGTTGTGGGCGGACAGAGCAGGTTTATCATAGTAAAAATAATTGGGGTGAAAATGCTAGGGCAAGTTCCTGAGTGAAACATCGCTGGGCCATGTGAAAATATTCCGTCTTCATACACTCCTGCATGAGCACGCAGTGGTAAGTTAATACGGGTTGTGGGCATGTGATCAACTTCGCACTAAGATCATTTAAATTGGTACAGACGATTTCAAAAAGACAAGGTTTGAGGCAAATTAAATAACAGGTCGTTTACGAATAAAAATCGTGATTCTGGAAATACTGCAAGGCTTTTACGCATATAAATTACGGGAAACTTTAAGAAATGGTACGAAGTGCAAGAAAACACAAACTTCGCTGAAGCCAAGAGTATGAATCGGACCATGTCCTCGTTCGTACACGCTTGAAGGTTCACCTCTCATCCGCGCCAAAAATGCCACGTTCTATACGCCTCGATGTCGCAAACATCCGACAAACCAGCACTGCTGAGACCTTGGGCAGAGAAATCCGATCCTGTTTTACGACCCGGGACGACGAAGACGGCAGTAACCAGTGGTCTTCACTAAAAACGTTAGCCTATGGGGCAGCTAAGAAAATCCTTGGATACACCCAGCGATGCCGCAGTGACTGGATCAGTGGAGGAACCCTGCAGTTGTCTGCTCAGACGGCTCGAGCCAGGTCCCGTAATGATTATTTCTTCCGCCAACTTCGAAAGATGACGGCAAAGTCGGCCAGGGATGACCGGAAGCAATATTGGGCTGAAATAGCGACCTCCATGGAACAAGCCTCGAACGTTGGTAACACTCGAAAACTCTACCAACTTATGCGCCAAGTTAGCGGTAAGCCCTCTACACAGAGTGGCTGTTGGCGACGTGAATGGCGGCTTTATTGCTGACAGTTCGGCTGAAGCCGTGAGCTGGCGTTGGCACTTCGAGCATCATCTCAACTTTGATACCCAACCCACCTCGTCCCTGCTCTCCTCTGCAGCGGGGTTTCTTCCGTCTACAACCTATGCAGTGCCATGCAACCCCAATTTCGAAGGAGAGGACAGTATACCGCTGAAATCTGCAAGCCTTGTGTCGACACTCTTGCGCCCCATCTCCATGAGGTGATTGAACATGTGTGAAGAAACGAGACTGCTCCGGATGACTGAGGCTTCGGCATCTTTGTACTTATCCTCGAAAATGGAGATAAGACAAGGTGCGAGAACTACCGCGGCATAAGCCTCATCGACGTTGCTGTGACGATCTTTACTATTGTCCTACGTAGCGATTCCAGGCTGTGCGTGACTCTAGGACGAGGCCGAACCAAGCCGGATTTCCTGCTAAACGTGGATACGCTGACCAGGTATTCCAAATGAGGCGCATTCTCGAATTTCGCCATAGTTACCGGCAACCGACGGTGGTCTATTTTGTTGACTTTGCCTCCGCGTTCGATTCCGTCCACCGTGAGTCTCTATGGCAGGTAATGGTACTAGATGGTGTACCGCCAAAAACCATCGCCACGACCGGGGCCTATTATCGCTCCACCACCGCGCGAGTCCTGGTCCGCAACAATCTTTACCAACCGTTTGGTATTCGGTCTGGCGTTCAACAGGGTTGTATCCTGTCACCCATTCCGTTTAACTGCGCTATTGACTGGATTCTCTGGAGTGCCCTACAAGATGGTAACGGTGTTGAATTTGCACCCGAACACCGACTGACTGATCTCAAAGGTGTCGATAATATTGCCTTATTTGTTTCATGTTTTGGTGATCTGCAGTCTACGGTGTCATGGGCGATCGGAGTCGCTAAAGCGGTCAGTTTATCCATAAACGCTGAGAAGACCTAAATGTTTTCAAGCTGCAGCTCTGACCAGGAGAAGGCACCTCTCGAGATTAATGGTTATCAAAGTTGAAATAAACAGTTTTAAATACCTTGGGGCGAGGCTGCTGCCGAATGGGCAGAGTAAGGATGACATTATCTCCCAAATTGATGCTGCCCGACAGGTTTTCTCGAGCCTTAGGAAATGCCTATGGGTCCGACGCGATCTTCACATCGCCACTAAGAGTCGCGTGTACCTGTCCGGTCTGTCCTTCCCTACGGTTGTGAATGCTGGGCGTTGCGCGTGGAGGACGAGCGAACACTGGAGGTGCTTGACCACTACTGTTTAAGGACCATCCTTTGAGTAAGCTACATCGATTTCGTCTCAACTGACGCAATGCGCGCTCGCTGCGACAAGATTGCAAAGATAACCCAGGCAATCAAAGAAAGGCGACTGTGGTGGTTTGGGCATGTTCTTCGTCGTCCACCTTTAGTGCTTAGTGTTATTGCGCTCCATCCGGCACCGTTAACTCATTGGAGGTATCGAAGAGACGGTCAACTCAAAACCTGGCTCGAGACATGATGGTGGTTTCTGGATCTTCGGTATTCGGTCTCCGTCGCTGGCGAAGAGAATGGGTTGAACTGTCCAGACCTGCTGCCGCGGATCGTTACGCGTGGAGAGGTACAGTTCGAGACATTATCGAGGCCGGCTAGATCAGACCTGATCGCAGCCGTACTAAGTACAAAAAAGGCTGCTTGAGACAGGTCCACCGACAGTAAATAAGCAGTAATCAATCGTCACAGAGGAATGTAGGAAAGTGGTTCTTAGGGAGCGTGGAAGATAAAACATAAAACAGGAAATCAATTGCTCACCTTCGGGTGCTTTACGAAGTGACTGAAGGTAGCCCACAAAAAGAGAGAGTACAGAATGGTCGCGGCGCTTAAATGAGCAGCGAGGCGAAAGTGGCTCACTCGGGGCACGCCGACAAAATCCTCGTTCGGACCAACACCTACCGGTGGTTGGGGCTTCTTCAATCCGCTTTTAACCATATACCAACCTAGCAAGCCCTAAAACGAAAAGTACCCTGAGATAGAAGTAAAACAATGTATGAAGGATGAGTTCAAAATGTGCAAAACAAAGTAGCTGAAAGCCGAGGAATAAATAATACATGACGTCGACGTGCCTGAAAAGCAATGAGCGCCCCATAAGCGATAACCCGAGGCTTCATGCGCCTAGAAAAATAGCCTTTATACCAGAAATATCCAGCAGGGAGAGCATAGACAAGACCGAGCAGACGACCCCATTGACGATGTCCATACTCCATGTGCCAAATGAATTTAAAATGAGAAAGTGTCATCTCCCCACGTTCACGTACGACACTAAAATAGAATAAATTGAGATGCACTCCCTTACTGCTCGTATTCGGGAAATTTCTTGTACTTTTCAAATTCTGCAATCCATTGCTCATTTGTGAGTGGCGGAACCTCTTTAAACAGGTGCCAATCGACCATTGACAAGCCCGATTCAGTAAGGCTGAATTATAAAGTTACATTAGCAACGCATACCGTGTGACGCCCCCAAGTATTACTGCACCAAATGTCATCCCAGCAAGAACCCCCAGCCACGCTCCAACCACAGTTCGCGAACGCTCATTCAAACCCTCAGCAATTCGGTCAGTGCCTGTTGAAAAATTTCGCGGAGTAGATCGAAGTGTGGTTCTCAAAAGTGGTTTGAGGCCACACGACACGCATGTCGAGCGGCAAACCTGAGAAGCCGAGCAGAGGAGGCGCGAGAGCATGAGAGTACTGGGCAGGCACCGATGAGGCCGCAGAAAACCCAAGGAAAACCCGTTAGCCAATAATAGCCCTGCATTTATTTTCAGCGGTTTAAACAGGCGGAGACACTGTAAGCGACAACCGTGCTAAGAGTCAAAACCCCCTTATTCGACATCCGATAAGAACGCGAGACAGTGGCCTAAGGGAAGATTAGGGCTTATTTAGAACGACGGGAAGACGGTTGGAATTCAGACAGGATAGGGAACACGCAGTGCTCCCTTGGCAGGTACTGGTTGGTCTAGAGACGGTCGTTGGCTGGTCATGCAATCAAAAACGACGATGAGGTGTTTGGGTGTCGGGGAGGCGCTCTCCAGCCCAAAGTGTCCGCGCATCAACTGACCACGGTATTGATAGGACCTCCAGTCGATTAAAGCAGGTTTAATGAATAGACCGATAGGCAAGACTGAGCATAACAATTAAAGGTATGTAAACGCAGAGGATTAGCTACGAAGAGGATCGAGGTCGCAAACTATCATATATGACAGCCTTCCAATGGCCAGTAGGATTAAAGTTGCAAGGTGGTTAGCGCATGAGCGTGGTGCCGGGGACAACCGGCAACGCGCTAAGGATCTATCATGACTAATCCAAAATCGGAAAACTCTGGTTACATCCCGATAACACATACAACTAGCTTGAAGTGGCCTGCTGTTATAGACTTCAGGTTGCCGGGTTTTGATCAAGGTCCACATATAGCATTTTTTAGGCAACTACAGTTATGCGAAACCCTGGCTATAAATCTGAGGGCCTTTCATGTCTGCATCAAAAAGGTAACGGCCTGGGCGCAAGTGGTGCATGGTGCAACTATTGGCACACTTATACGCAGCAGAAAAACAAGATGAGTGGGACGCATGGCAAGGTGTAACGTCCCTGCACCTGAACAGGGTTGTATGAGTGCTGCGAAACGTTTGGCGCGGACCTGGGATGGAGATGGTGTAACTGCGTGCTGGTGAAGACGGCCGGTGTCCCTTTATCTCACTACCGCCGACACCCCCCTCCCACAACGCATCGCAGCTCTCGTCTCTCTCTTTCTCTCTCTCTCTCGCTCAACGTCGGCTCCCCGCTCGCCACTTCCCAGCAGTTTTCCACAGCGCTGCATCCGCACCGGCCGTTTAGCCAGTATGCGAGGATCGCCTATCCATTCAGACAGGTCATCTCATTGCAGTTTCTCATTCTACAAGTATACTAACAGTTATTATACACATTTCCCGTGCCCATCTCGTTATAGTGTATTATAGCTCTTGCTTGACGTACCTTCTCCTGCGTGTGAATAGGCGTCAGGAGATGCTAAAAGTTCTGTTCAGACCTATCTCCACCAGGAACTCTTCTCAGCGTTTCATTACTTTGGTGTGTGCTACCCCTGGCGTACTCGGCCGCTACAAAGGCAAAGGCGAAAATGACTGTCCAAAAGTCATAAGCGGAATAAAGCCCGAAAAATGATGGAAGGCGACAAGGAAGTAAAAAGCTATGAGCAGACAGAAACCTGGGACTCCAAATCGCGCAAAATAATCTAAAAATAAGAACATAGTAAGAAAATGACGGAAAGAAGTCTTAGTTTACGTGCATGTTTTATTTTTCACTTTAAAGTTTATTGTACACTTGCACTTCTTTGTACTGTTGCTTATATCTGCTAAAATACATCTTAGTTCGTCTTGAGACAGCGCGTGCTGTCGCGTCCGTCTGTTGTTTGGTGTCATTGTTTCGTTGATTATGCCCATGTACCGCAATCCCTTTTACCACGCTAGCGCCAGCCCCGTCCGGACCGGCCAATTCTCCCGGACAGAAGGAGCTATGCCTCATTTGAGAGGGGCTGTGCGCCTAAATATGAACACCTTAGCTAATTATAGTCCCGTCCCCGAAAAAAAAACGTGCAGGGATGGCGTATCATTTACAAAGCCGATTGAAATTCTAACTGAAATATAAAAAGTGTATCAGATAAATAAATATGGCAGAATTACTTTATAATTTCTTTTATAACCGAATGAAACAATTTAATAAATGTAAGTAGCAGTCAACAAATGATCACCATGTAGTTGGATAATACGTGTATAAGAATTTATTAGCTTAATTATGGAAAGTAAAAAAAATTACCGCATTTCTGTCATTACCATAAAGGATGATGAATAGTGGTCCGAGAACTAGGCATTGAGGCACCCCATTAATCACATTCGTCCAATACGACGCATCATCTCCGGCACGGACACGCTATTCCCGACCAACCTGAGACGCCTTTATTCGGCTCCGAGGACCTATTTGGATGTCGAGGGCGCATGGTTTGTGAAGAAGGAGTTGGTGCGAGCCAGCGTCGAGTGCTTTGCGGAGATCGATGTACACGGCATCGACATCGAAGCCCTTTTCTTAAGTCCTAGTCCAGATCTTCAGACAAGTTAGCAAATTTAAGATGCAGGAACGTCCTCTCCGGAAACCATGCTGAAAATTCTGCAAGATGTCATTTTCTTCACACAATTGGTGTGTGGCAAACTTTACTAGAATTTCTATCTTTTTGCATAGGAGGCAAGTTCAGCAAATAGGCCTGAATTTGCTTGCAGCCATTAAGTTACCTCCCTTATATAAGGCAACGAGGCTGACTGCCTTCCACTACTCGGGCAGCCTGCCCATTCTGATTGACAGCTCAAAGACAGTTGAAAGAGGTTTTGCAGTCTCCATTGAAAGTTCCTTAAATATCAGTCTAGGTAGTCCGTCGGATGAAGGAGACTTATGAGATTTAATTTGACTGAGCATGCGTCTTTTTATTCGACAGAAGCGTCTACGGTTTCAGTGACGGCAGCATCTTAATAATAATAATAATAATAATAATAATAACAATAATAATAATAATAATAATAATCAATAACAGTCTACAGGCACTGTCAAAGAAAAAATAAAGCACAGATCGGGCGGTCAATGAAAAAAATCCTTATAATTTAACCCTGAGGACTGCGTTTTTGTAGTTGGGTGGTTTAGGAGAAAAAACAGCTGCCCGTGAACTGACGGTAGTCCAGAAAACGTGGGTAACACTGGTTCGGCTGTCCCCATTTTCAGTTCGTTCTCATGAAGTCGGGACTGGATCAAACAGAAGCACTGAAGAACAGCTGTTGCTGTTGGCCAAAGAAATTGTCCTCGATGAGACCGGTCATGAGGATCAGAGACCAAGAACGCCATCGCTACAATATATTTGATCGATGGATTCAGTACCGAAAATTTGTAGGAGTTTTTCTGAATACAAAAAGCGATTAATAGTTCTCTTAAAAAAGGATAATTTGCAGAATTTTTATATCCCTGGGTAATTTATTCCACACAGCAATTTCGTTCACAGAAAAGAAACGACAAAGTTTAACAGTACGCGCCAGAGGAAGAAATAAAATACCTCACGGTGACTGTTAGGTCGGAGGTGGACAGAATGACTTAAAGCAGTAGGTGGGTTAAATGTATGATTATATAAAAGCCTAAATAGTCAAAATGGTCCCTTTTGTAATCTACGAAACCACAATGGATCAAGGCCTGTAAGTCGGCAACGTTTTTGCTAAGACAAATGTAGGTGTTCATGGGTTAAAACTCTTTTGGTAAAAAAAAATGCTAGACGGATTTAATTTTTTGCCGCTCAACAGCACCCAGGAGGCTAAATAAAAACGAACGGTATTCTAGGCAAGGTCTGGTGTACAGTTTTTAAGGGCAAATTCCAATATCGCTAGTTTTTAAATTTCGAACGAAAAACCCGGTTTTTCTAAGTGCTGTGGAAACTATCAGGGCGCACTGCACCGAAAGATTAAAACTATTGGATTATGACACACTCACATCCTTAATAACCCCAGGCACATTTATGCCGTGACCGTCAATATTTAGTTAGAGTTGGAGCTCATCGCTAACCACCATGACTGAGCATTCATGCCAAGAAAGAGAAAGGGCCATGTGCGGCGCCAATGGGCAAAGGCCAATAGATCGCTCTTTAGGGGCTCGAGCACGGTGTCACGATCTGCCGGCTTATACATGTACGCAAATTTCAGATCCTTGGCATACATAAAGAGCTTACCATTCTGAAATAATTCTGGCACATCTTTAACGAAAAGGCCTCCCCTAAAGGTCATCCCCTAAAACTACGCGCCGGGAAAGCAAGAATCAATGGAAGAAAGTTCTTTTGCAGTCACAGAGTGATTGCAGCGTGGAATGCCCTGCCCACCGATGTTGCAACCTACTCCTGTGTGAATTCCTTTAAGTGTACACTTGACGCACATCAAGCCTCCCAGTTACCAGCCTTATATCCATTCACACAACTGGCACCAACTTAAACTTGTTTATACTACTTGTAACTAGTTAGTAACCATAATTGATTACTCTTTTTGAGTAGATGTCGGCGATTATGTGCAAAACCCCTTTTTTCACCTTCCCACTATCAATGTTTTTCTCCGACGACTTTTAACCGATAGGGAGTTCAAAGGCGCTCGCCTATCTTTCCCTTAATAAACTGAAACTGAAACTAAAAGCGGGCCGAGTACACTGCCCTGAATAACTCCACTCCTCACACATGTGGGGTTGGAGATAGCATTCGAAATCTTAACAAGTTTTGTGCGAGCCTCCAGGTAAGACGCTATAAAATTGAAAAGTTCGCTACCTATTCCGACAGATGACCGTTTCAGGAGAATAAGAGAATGGGCAACACAAGCAAAGGCGTTAGTGAAGTCGAAATAGACTGTGTAAGATGCAAAACCATTGTCCCTAGGTGGGGAACATGATCAAAGAAAGACAGCTGACAAGTGTCACAAGATCGAGCTTTGAGGAATCCATGCTATGAAGCGCTCAGTAGGTTATTCTCTTTTAACTTACACATCATCTTACCTTTGATCAATGTCTCTAAGATCTTCGAAACTGCCGGGTGGGTGTTTGTTGGTCGAAAGTCATCAAATGACTTAGATTTGCCATGCTTGGGATGGGAAAATGTGTGATTCCTTCCTCAAAGTAGGATAGGTTTCACTTCCAAGGGCAAAATTAAATATCTTGCATTAGAGTGATGGAAAAATTACACTTGCGTCCGAATTAAGGACTCTTACAGCGACACCATCAGCTCCAGGGCTATGAGACTGACGAAGACGCCGAATCGCTACAGACACATCTCAAAGAGTGAAAGTTATAATTTCATGAACTGCACCGGCCAATGCTTGGGTAGTCGTAAGCGGAATGGTCAAGTTTTTAATAGAAGTTTTGGATAGGAGATGGTCGAAACAATCAGCGGTTAACTGGGCATCAACTATAGGATTCCATAGAGCGTCTCGGAGGGTGGGATGCTGCGATTTTCCATGGGTTCGCAATTTTCGGGAGAAAAGTTTCGAGACATTTAACGAATGGTTTTCGGTGAATCAAGTTAGGAGACTCGAAGCTGGCCTTTGCTTCCTTTTTCGCATTAATTATAGCTCCAATCTTCCGCTCATCGGCACTCTCACGCCGAGAGATCGGTCTTATGCCAAACACAACTGCGCCACGGGGGCTCCACCGCCTCTTTGCTTTACATCTATGCGCTTCCTCTTTTTTGCTTCCATATATGCCTTCCTTTGGAATAATCATCCACGAGAAATCAGATAAATGTCTAAGTTATCGGCATCGAAATCAAAATTACGTAAGCACTTTACACTGGCAAGTATAAAGTCGCTATTGGTCGTCTCATTCCCGAATACTCAGCTTCTTGACTTTCAGAGGGGTCCGCTTGTGGTTTAATGATAGATAATCATTTTTGCCTGTTTAGTTGGAAACTCTCACTTATATTGCTACTAAGCCCACTGTTATTACTCTTCCTCCGCAGCTATGATTTTCGTGGTTCTTCTTGTCATCTCCTCATTTCGTCCACAAAGCCGCATGCAGGCCAATCCTGTCTCAACCGCATATTTATCCCTCATGGCTGACATTTATTTCTGCCCTGACGATGCCCGTTTATAATCCGTTATACGCTGTAGCCACGAAGGATTTTAGACACACTAATCTAGTTAAAATATATCTCGGGTAAAGTGTACAACAAATTAATTGAGTATTTGTTCATTCTGTTTGCTATTATTTGATCCACCGATGAATTTGACGAATATTATCTATCCGCGAAGTAGTATTTAACTTGCGTTTTCTGGAAGGTGTAGCCAGCTATCGTCAGTTCCTTTTGGTCAACACAGTTGCCACGTGAAATGAACTACTTGGATATGTCAACAATAAGTAAAAATATCCCTCGTTGAGAGGAGTTGTTATCACTTTGTGCATTCATGGCAGCTCCCACAACTTCTGGACATCAAGTTAACTGAAGTCGTCTTCTGAACTGATGTCACCCGCAGGCATTGCGCCTCCTGCGTTGTGTCCTTCGGGTGGGAACGCCTTGAGATTGCTGTCCGTCGTTCAGTCAGTGGATTCTTCAGTTAGCGGTGGTCTAATTTTCTACTCCTCACCTCCTTTCCTAAATTACGGTCAATATTTCACGATGGAAGTGGTGCAGACAACGTCCTTAATGGGCCGAACTTCCTGCTCTTGGGCGCATTCACTTCTGGGACTGATGTCCATTCCCATAGGTAGCCCAGTGCTCATGCTTAATTTTATCACCCAAAATCCAACTATATTTACGCATTTCTGCCTGGAGTTTGCCTCTGACTTCTCAACTCATGCTATTTACTAATTCAGTGTCAGTTCCAAATTTAAAGTTACCTCCGGGCGCCTAACAATAAAGCTACTTTCATTATTCCGATATCGTCTGAAATGGGAATTTCATTACTAATATGCAGACGGCGGATGTCCATAACACAAGGGAGGCCAGGAGAGGCATTGCCGATTTATTAACTGTCGCCAACCGCCTTTGTCCAAACCCAGGTTTGTGAGAAACGGGCCTCCAACCCGCACATCGAGTAAAACTACGTTCAACGCCCTACCACTGCACCATGGACTCGTTGTCCTGTCGGTTGTGATCGGGGATATTAACTACATATGTCTGAAAGACGTTCATAAATCGCGTTAGGGGACCAGCTCGTCTCCTTGTGCCTTGGAGCACAGTGTAAATCCCTGCAAGCATTCGCACCACAACTAGAACTATACGAAGAAAGTGACTGCCGACAAAGGCAAGTGGGACCGGGGTGAACATGCATGGCCATTTACGTCACGGTTGCTCATCATAGTGGGAGTAGCGGTCATAAGATTCAGGTGGTTCCGGCACGTCTTACGAATAGGCTGATTAAAATCGAAACTGGAGTTATATGCTTTCCCAATTTCCAGCCAAGGGTGCACGCAGTCACGCCACCGTGAGACGGCGTGGGACGCAACTTATCGAGAATACCACCCGCTGCACTCATATCTCTCCCCCCCCTTCATGGCGTGACTACAAAAACCGCTCATTTGATGTTGCCTTCTCACAGTCTCTGACGATGGCCTCCTGTACGAGACCGAAAGCTCAGACTAATAAACCCACTGTCCCAGAGATCGGATCTTCATCTTCTTTACAACAAGAAACTGGGATTCGCATATTCGTTTCCTAAATGTTTCTGGTTTCGATGTTAAGTGTTCAAACAATCATGTCATGACCAAAGTGCTATTTCGAGATAGGCTTGACAGTGGAGAAGGCCGATAGTCTCCACAATAATTACGATTACTTGTGTCCGACTTCCGATTGAGAAAACTGACATCAATATTCTATCTGTCCACGTCTAGGATAGAAGGTCTAAGGAGATGTTGATTTCGTTTCTGATCAAGGTAAACTAAGCTGTCCAGCCATTTGCTCTCGATGCGAAAATGGAACCGGATATATATACTCGGTATGAAAGAAAATGCGACAGTGAAAATGACCAAGTTTGAAGAAGCAGCGTAAAATCTGAAAGGGGAAATTGGATGATGAAAGATTGTGCGGTATTAAAACATAGCCAGTATGGTACAGGTAACCAATATGCAGGGTTTTCCAATGGATTCCAGTTGAAGTAACACTGGGGGCCAGACATTTTCACATTAGAAAGCCAGCGAGAAGGTCATGTGTTACAGGTGGTCAGTGCGGGGAAAAACTTAATTCAGTTCAGTTTATTTAAGGAGAATTGAGTGAACCCCGTGGGCTGCTTATTTCGCACAGGAACTAGGATTATTCATAACAACATAATTGAAACACAATAACTCCATGAACCAGACATAATCACTCAATGGTAGAAGCATGTATGCCATACTTAGTGGCGTAACTCGCTTTTGCTGTAACATATGCCTCTCAAGGCCATAGTTTAAGTTCTAGACAGACTGAGATCAAAATTGCCGCAGTCGGGCTATTTCACAGCTTTGCAAGCCGGTTGGGGGAAAAATAACTTCTGACACAGGATCTTCTGAGAGGAACACTTAGTTAAAAAGTGCTCACTCGGAGGCTTGTTGTAAACAGTCTTAAGGAAATCACCACAGAAGAGAACTCCGTCTATCCATGAAGGATGGGGAAGGTTCGTGACAAGTCTCCGCGATAGTATCTATGGTTTTATAAAATAGATGTATGTTATTTTTCCAGCTCGAATAAGACAATATTTCTTGAACTCCAAGTAATCTGGTGGATTGCCTCTGGGACCTTTCATGATGTAATCTTGATTTATCTATTACACTCAGGCCTTAAACACATATTTAAGATGTGACCATACGGATGTTTCGAAGGCTTCGGAGAAGTTGTTTTCGCCAAAAACGGCAAAGAAACGCCCGACTGCCTACATTATTAAAGTGACGACTCTTGATACCTACACAAGTACTGTTGCAGAAAGCATTGTTGTATTCGTGATCCAAAATCCAAGGTGTTTCTCTGTTTCGGTTGGTTGGAGTGACATTCTAGTCCTGCAGCAAGCGCGCGCGGGACCACTCTTTTAGGCGAAGAGGATTTTGTGAGAAATATGGACGGCTATCCGAAAATTAATGTCATCCGCCAACATGACACCATCGCAATTCTGTTTTTGCACGCGAACATTAATAAATACGAGAAACACGGTCAGCCCCGGCCTTGAAATTTGCGGAAATCAACTTCATATGGCTGTCCGCCAAGAAGGTCACTGCTCTACTAAGACAAGTCGTGAACAACCGACGCGGAAAATTCCAATCCATTTAGGAACTTCAGTACTGATGAACATTGCTGCGAATCTGTCAGCGGTCACCGGTAAGGCACACGTAATGGTCCCCCTAGATTTGACGTAAACCGACGTACACAGTATGTATTACGTCGGCCATCTTTGTTCAGCTTTGAGAAACCCCTAGTGGGCTTTGGACAGGAGATTACGAAATACCGAATAAACCATTCAATTATTTGGTAGGCCTTTTTGCACTTTTTAGCCGATAGATGTAAGGCCATCACGTCTGTACTTAACCGCGAACTTGTTTTTTATTGATACTGGTAATGCGAGTCGTTTTCCGGTCTTTAGGAGGAATTTTGACATGGAACGATTGCTGGGACAAAACATGCGATGGTTAAGGTTGTTGTCGGACAAACTACTTGAGGTTCCCTGCGAGGATCTCAACCGTATCCGAAGTGTTAGCTTGCTTTCCGTTATAAAATTCGTTAATTTCGGTAATTTCGATAGATGACGTCCTCACGTATTGTGGATAATTTAAACCAAAACCCTTTTTGCGGGCCTAAGGGGCGTTTCAGCTTTGATTATTATCTTCGAACCTTCGGGACAAACGGCCGTCTACATTAGACGGATCGGATTCCTATCGTGAGTGCTTATCCACGAGCAGCTACGGTGCAACTTAAGGTATTTTGTGGCCCGGCGGGACAATTTTTCCCAAAATTGCAGCACCAAGGCCAATCCGCATGAATGACTAACGCACAACTTTGTCGGCAAGCATGTATGCAAACGAGACGATAGACCAGGCGAAAATTTGGCTAACTCCCTGTAATTCAAGAACATCTCAGGAGCCGTTAGCCGCCTTCTCGCGGCATCTGCAGTTGTAGTCGCACACAGACCGGAACAAACTCTCAGATACTGAGGCATGAGATTGGTAGAAAACGTCTGAAGCAGTTTACCGGATCCGGTCCGATTGCAGACAAAACAACTACGCCGATGAAACTGGGTTATTTACTCGGACGCGGATGGCTGAACATTCAGCATAAATGGGGGTGCAATGACACCAGATTTTGGGCCACGAACCAATCGACAAAACCCCGACACAACATCGAGGCTGCGACTTACGCGAGAGGTGGTAACTCCGTGAGCCTCAGGCTGCTTGAGTCATGGTCTCCGGCTCGCACATCACTAACAGGCGCAATGATCTTCCTCTCCTGTATCAAGCGCTTTAGCTGTGCAAAATAACTGGTCACACGGCAGCGCGAGGGCAAAACCCGATCTCAGTGACAGCATTAGCGAGCAAGATTATCGAGCGACTATCATTCCAGAAGTCAAATCCGTGGCCACAACTGAGGCAATTAGAGGCTCGGATACGCCCAAGCAATCGGTCACCGAATCAGTTACGACCATCGAGGATGAACTCAAGAAATGGCAGTTATGGTTTGGGTGGCGGCTGCGTCCTATAGAGGTTGAACCCCGCTTGAGTCCGTGACACTTACAGTAGATGTGCTAACTCATTAAATGTTGACCAAAATTTCGAAATACGTTCTCGTTTCGAAAAGATAAATTAAGTAGTGTTGTAAAACTAATCATGATGCAGCATAAATCTATAATGATCCAGTTACCTCAGGGTGTCGGCTTTAAAAAGAACTTATTTTCTGCTGTATGCAAGATCTATACTCTGCAAAAAACGACTACTTAAGTAGCATGCAATTTAAGTGTGAAATTGAAGGAAGACGTGATTTTCTACCGAATAAGTAAAAGAATGAATATTTTTATGCATGTTTCCCATGAAATATAATTGAATTTTCAAGGGCATCGAAAATCAATGAGAACATTGAATGCTACTTAAGTAGCCGTTTTTTACAGAGTATAGATCTTGCAGGCAGCCGAAAATAAGATCTTTCGAAAGCCGACACCCTGAGGTAACTGGATCATTATAGATTTATGCTGCATCATGATTAGTTTTACAACACTGCCTAATTTATCTTTTCGAAACGAGAACGCATTTAGAAATCTTGGTTGACATTTCATGAGTTAGCACATCTACTGTATCTGCTACTCTTTCTAATGATGGGCTCCAGTAAGAACCGTGCAAATTTTGCTCTGGCGGTCGCGTCTACTTCTTCTCGACGGTTTCCTGGAAGTTACCTTTTTGCTCGTATTGGCACCCCTGTGGTCATGCTTTCGTACTTTCTTACCCAAACTGCATGCTGCGTTCTAACGAACTTCCTCCGTTCCACGAAAACCCTTTTAATAGCCCTTTTGATCGCAAATGATCGCTTGAACTTGATAAAGTGCTCGCTTCATTACTTTGAGCTGCGTTTCTTCGAGACCGAAAGCACTCGAGCGGCAACTAATAAATCCTGGCACTTTAACTTTTTTGCAATAGTAAGTGATTTTGCTAGACCTTTTCCTGAATTGTTGGACTCGTTAAATTGGCCCTGCACACAGGTTACACAGGACCAACGCCGATGATAAAATTGCAGCTTCTCGTGAGATTTTGTTTTACTACAAGTCAGTATGTCACCAGAGATAACCATTTATTCATCGTTATCGTACATTACTTCGTGAAAGGAGGGGGACTGCCTACCCAAAATTCTTAGTCAGGATAAACTTACAAGTTCAATAATGCATATCTAATTTATTGAAAGGGACGAATGAGAGGGTGGTCGGATGCTCTGTAGTCAGAAGCTTCAGATAAGGAACAAGCAAATTTAACTCGAAGTAAGTCTATTACGTCTGATGTTATGACAATTACGAGACGCCTGCTTCAGCTGCCGAAAACTCACGGTACCGAAAAGGCACCTACTCAAGTGGTGGTGTGATAAGATCCCCGGAAGTCTGAGGAAATTCGATGTAGATATTTCGATGTATGGAATTTTTACTGTCTTTAATAGTGTATAAAGTCAGAACGTCCCTTCACTGTCTGACATACTTGGATGGGATCCCTATGTTTCTCTGATGATCTGGGCAAACGTATACGGAAGAGAAAACTTAATGAGCCCCCCTAAACCGATGGAATTACCCCAATATATTTGTGCGTGATGAACGAAAACAATCGTAACTATAATAATAATAATAATAATGATAATAATAATAATCATCATCACCACCACCACCACCACATCATCATCATCATCATCATCATCATCATCATCATCACCACCACCACCACCATCATCATCATCATCATCATCATCAGCAGCAGCAGCAGCAGCAGCATCAGCATCATCATCGTCATGCTCACTGAGGTTACTGAGGCTGCTGCGATGGGATCTGGATTGTGTTATTTTACTGAAAACGTTCATGGGTGTGCATATGTTCGAGTCGATCCCTGAGATGGTCACATGCCCTGGAACAGGGTGGACAAGTGAGACGTGAATATCGAGTGTATGTTGGGGCTCCAGGACTCCCGTCGACCCCTCACACCATTTACCCACACGAGCCCTCGCACGCACAGTTCGCCCTTCCCCGCCCCGAACGACTTGATTTAGTTGTAGACTTTTCGCCGATTGCATTTAATAGTCTACTTCCAAGCTCAGAATGGCTGAATCAGAATTGCGATTCTTCACTTAAATGTTGAAAAGTTCTGCTTTCACAGTGCTCCATAGGCAAATTTACATCGACCATCCAAATTTTGCCCATTTATCGAAAGGTCACCAAAAACACGCACCTTGAAAGTTAACTTTTGAGACCAAATGTGTGCAAAGATGTTGAAAGTGAGCGCAGTTTATGTAACACTGACGCAGAAGTGAATGTGCTAATGCTCGCGGCTAGCAAGAAATGTCTGTCTGTACTACTGGATGTCTTTTATGATCGACCAGCTTCATGAGCTCGCTCATAACCTCCGATCTTCTAGGTGTCTTTCATTTGTTGGCAGTTGGGTGTTTGACCACTCCAGTCATCTGCTTGCAGATGATCTCCCGAACATGCCTGGCACGCTACTGTTCGCGTGTTGCAGTTCAGACACTTTAGTCAGTGAGGTCTGCATATCAATGAGTCTCGTCGGATTGGATTTGAGTCATTCTTACTTGCTAACACCTCTGGTCGACGAGGCATTTGACTGTCGCAGGGAGGCCTGAGGTGGGGGGGGGGGCGTGAACGCGATGAAAGCGATCAGCATGTGGTTGAAGCGAGGCATTTGCGACTGTCGGAGTAGATTTGTGCAGTAAGTCTAAATTTCGGACTTTGAAGCGTTACACAGCGGGAACCGGTAGCAACTATTGCCTGATGGAATTATCGAAAGTGGCGAATTCCTGCCGGGAGTTCTTCCCCATAGAAAGTCGAAGTAATGGCCTTTCAAGGGGCGATATTATTAGCATACAGGGCAATCAAGTGTTCAGTCAGCCAAGTACTAGCATTGTTACGTAACCGCGCAGGCAGCACTATTTGCCCTTATGCCTACGGTTCTGCCATCTCCTTCCAGGAATGAGGAGACTAAGAATTCTCAGAAGCTGACAACTTCTACCGTCCGGAGCTAGAGGAAAGTCATTTTTTATGCGCCAGTCGAGCACACGATTTTTATATGACCTGCGTTTGTGGCGGTTTTTCTCGAAGGCCAAAAATATCTGTGGCCTCAAGCAGTGGTTACAGCGAGCGTTTTAATGTGAACTCTTATATTCACTGTAGCTGTATGCAGCACATAAGGAGAGGTCAGTTGTCCTGAAATTCCCCCAATAGGTGCAGGTACTATCCAAGAATCGCGAATCTCTACGTCCTTTGTTGAACATCGGCAAGGAAGTGAAGCCTTAATCGGTGCTGGCATGTCCTGCACCTAGTGATTATTCTCTCGAGTTCACATACCAGAAACCGCATAGAGAACGCTGGGGAATCCACTGAGGAGCCGAACCCCTGGCATCTGTGCCATGCAGCAGCAGCAGCAGCAGCAGCAGCAGCAGCAGCATCGCGGATATACGTACTTGGGCATTTAGCTAGTATCTGTGCCATGACTACGATATAACCATCTGTCATATATACATAAACATGCATATCTATGTATATATAGATGAATATACGTATGTATATAATGGTAGAGGGCGTTCACCGATCGTCCTTACGGAACTCACTCGTTCCGTTGTGCCTTACGGGCTCTCTCTCGAGCCCAACCAGCAGCCGCACAGCGGAGCATGATACAGGCAGAATGGCATTACCGACAAAGACAAGGGTATTTATATGTATATATATGACGACCGCATGTCCCCGGGTACCGAGGATTTGGCCCCTTCTTGTAAACAAGCATGAACTCTAGCTACCATTTGCATTCCAAGTTGGATAACTAGATCCGATGGCCCTTCACTACTTTGCAGGGAGATTTGGGTCGGTGTTAAGGTTAGGTTTTGACTAGGGTTATGGCTCGAATTTGGTTTGTTGTTCGAGTTAGTGTCTTACCCTTGATCCCGATAGCGACTGAGAATTGGGTTATAAAAACTGCCTCTTGGGGAGACCTTTTTGACACTTCTTCCTATGTGTGCTCGGACATACCCCCCTGAACGAAGTCTAGTCACGTGGGGCAGGGACCAGGACGCGTGCGGCACACTTAGACGGGCTGCTCGTATTGGTCATTCACTATGCCCACGCGCAGCTCTGGCAGTTTTGACTATATATTGCCATTGAAAGATCGCGAATGAGGTGGAAAGAGAGGGCGAGGTAGGCGCAACGAAAGTCTGCCCAACTATAAACGACTTCTCGCCCAAGTCGCTGCTGAACGCGCCAAGTGGAACGGCCAGACGGTCGAATGCCAAATTGAATAAACAGGCTTCTCAAATTGTACACATGCGTGGGCAGCGAGTTTTACATTCGTTAGCGAATCTCCTCCATCTGCCTCATGCGCATACGTCTGCAGTTTGGGATCCACGTTGGTACGGCCAACATGGACGCAGCCGATATCTGATGATTTTATCCTGTTGGATATGCCAACCTTGGGGAAAGAAACAAGGAGTCTAAAGTCAGCAATTTGGTCAATGTTATCCCACAACAGTTCGACTGTCGCAAACTATGATGATGTCTGCCGTACGCTCCACAATGCGGTGAGCGCAGAACAATGACTTGTGTGTGAGGTAATTTACAAGCCTACTAGGCTTGCGTACCACACTCGGTAAAAATAAATACCTAAGTAGTACAATTTTTGACTGATTTTCGAGGCCCCTTCGAATTTAAGTGCTTTTTCATAGAAATGCATACTTTCACACATGCATTTGGTAGGAAATTACGTCTTCTTCAAAGATTTTGCTTGAATAAAGTGTATCTCCCAATTTAATAAAATTTTTCAAATCCCCAACGATCTCCGAATTCGACCAGCAGTTGCACTTGCTTTTAGGATTTCGAAACTAAATGCTGCACGCTTTTTAGAGGGGAGTCGGGGAACGCATAGACGACAAGGTCAAGCGTTTGGTTGCAAATGAAAAGCTATTCGGAACGCGTTGTATTTTAAGTGGTTGATAAATAATTGTCCTAACACCTAAGCCTAACCCTAACCCCTAACTATAGCCCCTAATCCGGAACCCTAACCCTAACCATAGCCCCTAACTGTAACCCCTAGTTCTAACCCTTAACCCCAACCCTAACAGTATTGTGTACATCAGTTGGAGCAACCGAACCACGTCTTACCATTTTTTCTATAGAATGTGCGTGAAGTTATAGGGACATAGAAAATGAATGGGAAACTGTCAAACTACTAAAGCATTTACTTTTACGGGGTGTATTTTCATGCAGGCGGCTGGAAATAAGCCCATCCAAAAGACGGCAATCTGGCGTGACTGGACTATCTAAGGCTTAGGTTGTGTGATAACCGCATAAGTTCAGATGGGCAAAGTTGAGAGATCTGGGTTGATAATTTAAAGAAGAAGATGGGCTCTCCGGAGAAGGCTTATTCAAATGCTGATGTTTCAAAGAGCTTGGTCGGCTCTCCATTGTCAAGGCGTAAAACACACTTAATCGATCAGAAACATCAAGTGGCATGTTGAGTTAGTCGGCCTCATGATGATCGATTTTTCCCTCCTTTCGCTGCCTCGGCCGCTCGGGAGATGGTTGACGGGCTTTTTGCCTGCGTGCTTGTGAGTCACCACTCCTCCGGGGCAGCTGATTGAACCTTTGTCAGGAGGTCGGTCTGACGGTGCTTGTTCTTCCTCACCGAGCAAACTCGCCGTCGGACTATCTCCGTACGGCATTCTTAAGTCCGGTGTGATTGTTTTGTCCTGAACTCTACGAGTTTGATGACGTAGGACTTTGTAAGCTGCAGGAAGGTCCAGATGCCTGTTGATAGAGCGGGCATCGGAGAACCACGCCTCGAGAGTTAGCCGTTCTGCTTTTGTGTTGCCCCGGCCTAAGATAGTAGCTTGCTAGAAGTCAAAAGCATGTCCAGATTCTCCAACGTGTGTTGCTAGTTGAGAGTTAGGATCTAACCTCCGGGTGGCCGATTTGTGCTCTTGTAACCCAAAAATGTCAGATGTTGTTTGTAGTGGCATCATACTTGCGCAACATCTGCCGCGCTCTCTCCTCCCCCACACACCTCGGTTCGGTGTCAAGATAGAGTCAGCAGGACCGGTGTGGTCTCGTGCGCAATGGCTGACAGAGGTCAACATCCTGTCTGCGCGCGCCACACGCGACCTGATTTGGGTATAAGCTATCGGGTTTTCGCGAAAAAGGGGCAGCTGGGATCTCAATTAAGTGCGGCTGTCATGGAGAACACATTAAAAAGGGGTCCTTGCAATCCACTGGTCGGCCACTTCACACATAGGGCTGGTCGCGGGGGTTGAGTTATCCCGTTATGTGGCAACCTTCCAAATCGACTACTTCTCGTTTCGAAACGCGTTATTAGCCCAGAATTTCACAATGTATAATAATTTAGGGCTCTGATTTCTACAGACACAGTTTGAAACATTTGACAAAACCAGTTTTATAGCAGTTAGTAGTAAACGGGTCTCAATGTGAAATTCTTCGGGCTTCGAGGAAGTTAGTTTCAGTGCTCCTGAGTTTATCAATCGTGTCTCACGGGAATCTCATTTGACAGGGGTTACAATACACAGCCGGATCTATACAAAACAGGCTCGAACCGGCCGTTCTCGTCTACTTCTGGAAAATGGGAAGATGCCATTTTTTGCGTTTTCCGTAGAGAAAGGCGTGTGATACTTCCAGATGCTGCGCAAGTCCAGTAGCCCTATCAACTGCTTCACGCTCGAGTCACCGTCTACGCACACGGCGGACATCGTCCGTCTAAGTAGACGAATATTTTCAACTTTCTCAGGAAAAACGTCGAGGTTTTTTCTGCGTAACAGCTGGTCATTTTGACAGGCGCAGCGCGAGTGTTTTATAATTCATCTGAAGACTTACCTTGCAGTATGAGGGCTTAATAACCTACTGTGCCCCTGAATGATAGTGCACAATTGTGGATGGGAGTAATAAATTCGGCTATGAAGAAATACTTTCGATACAGACAACCATCAAAAGGGACAAACTAGAAAATGCATTTAGACGCTGTTATGAGATTGCGGAATCGCGTTCAGATGTCCGCATATCGATGGACAAAATATTGATCATAAAATCTACTTGTTTTCTCTTCGGAGGAACTACATGCGCAGCGAACTGTACCATCTACGTTACCAATAGAATTGTCTGAGTCAATAACAGACCGAGACGCTGGTTATTCACCAGAACTTCATCTGATCCAGTTGCGAAAAATTCGGCGGCCACAGTAGGGTTCGAACCCATGACACCAAGCGCGAGGATCGTGTACAAAAGCTATGAGCTATGAGGCTCGAACGGGTCCGTTAGTTTAATAACATTTGGATATATTTATTTGCCCAACTTACTGCAGCATATGGAATCAACCACTTCTGACACAGTAGGATGACTGCCCAAGCAGGATCTCCTAAACGATCAACCCAGGATCCACCGGCTGACTACCAGAGTCACTTAACGTATAGATGTTTTTGACAGATTTGAATAATTCGCCTGACTCGGTCGTGGAAAGGTCCGTGGCCTCGGTGGAGGTCGGACTCACGATCGCAGTCGCAAAACTTCTGCAAAGCCAATGCTCCAACTACCTCAGTTACGAAACCCCAACCGGGGGCCACGAGTTGAATCACATTTCGACTAAGTCACCCGTTCCACTTACTGCAACGTATGTCCGACCGCCACTGAGGTCATCGAAGTTTTTAAAATCTAGCCAGATAATTTATGCTAATCTTTGGACTGTTTTAGAGTTGCGAAAATTCCCATAGCAGTAATCAGAAGACGCGGTGGAGAGCATGCGTAGCTTTCGATAAATTCTCGTCGGGCCAGTACCATTATATGGGAAGGGGGTATGAATAAAACACGTCAGTGTAAAGATAAATCGATTAAAGTTCGCCTTAAAACACCGGCTGAGTGTGGGAATGTGGGGGAGGGGGGGGGGTAATAGCAGTGGGAGTGGAAGGGCGTGGGAGAGTTGTAACGTCAGTCGAACTTCGACCACTGCAGGCGCGGTGCCTGAACGTGCAAATCTGCCAAAAAAGCCCTTATCACCAGAAATAATTGAAAGAAGGTGCCTAGACCACGCTGGCATATGTTTATGTAGTCCTCGGGCAGCACAGCTCTACAGATCACAGAGAGTTTGGAATATAGCCGCTGCAAGTCTGTAGTGGACAGCCACAGTGGCAACGTCGCGCCTCTCGTCAGCGCCTGCACCTACGCCCTAGCGACAGCGTGCTATTACACGCACGTCTGCCTGACTTCGATTTGTCTCGTTGCAATTCACTGTCTGCACCACGCATTCGGTCGATTCTCTGCCTGCACCATGCGAGGCTTGCCACTACCCTCGCTTGGGCTCGGAGCCAATCAACGCACCTACTATCGCTGATTGGTAAGACAGGCGGACATTAGCGTAAACAATCTGCAACGACACTTTTGCAGCGGCGACCTTTGGCGA